TTAGTCTTGGTAGAGCACAAGCATCTAGTAATTTATCCATTTATCCCTGGTTTACTGGTTTATGTGAGTAGAGCTGTTTGTAGTAATCTCTGATGGTAGTTATTGATTTATTTTGGTTGAGCTTGTTTTTGAATAGGCAAATACACCCATTTAGTTAACAATGTTTTTCCTGCCTGGAGGCAGACACTGTGACTAGGAGAAAATGAGGTTTTTGTTTTTTTTTTTGTTTTTTTTTAATTTTATTGCATTTTAGGTTTTGGGGTACATGTGAAGAACATGCAAGATTGTTGCATAGGCACACATGTGGCAGTGTGATCTGCTGCCTTCCTCCCCATCACCCACATCTAGCACTTCTCCCCATGCTATCTCTCCCCAACTCCCCTCCCCCTGCTGTCCCTCCCCTATTTCCCCCCAACAGACCCTAATGTGTAGTGCTCCCCTCCCTGTGTCCATGTGTTCTCATTGTTCAACACCCGCCTATGAGTGAGAACATGCAGTGTTTGATCTTCTGCTCCTGTCAGTTTGCTGAGAATGATGGTTTCCAGGTTCATCCATGTCCCTACAAAGGGCATGAACTCATCGTTTTTTATGGCTGCATAATATTCCATGGTATATATGTGCCACATTTTCCCTGTCCAGTCTATCATCGATGGGCATTTGGGTTGGTTCCAGGTCTTTGCTATTGTAAACACTGCTGCAATGAACGTTAGTGTGCACGTGTCCTTATAGGAGAACGATTTATAATCCTTTGGATGTATACCCAGTAACGGGATTGCTGGGTCAAATGGAATTTCCATTTCTAGGTCCTTGAGGAATCGCCACACTGTCTTCCACAATGGTTGAACTAATTTACACTCCCACCAGCAGTGTAAAAGTGTTCCTATTTCTCCACATCCTCTCCAGCGTCTGTTCTCTCCAGATTTTTTAATGATCGCCATTCTAACTGGCGTGAGATGGTATCTCAATGTAGTTTTGATTTGCATTTCTCTGATGACCAGTGATGAGCATTTTTTCATATGCTTGTTGGCCTCATGTATGTCTTCTTTTGTAAAGTATCTGTTCATATCCTTGCCCACTTTTGAATGGGCTTGTTTTTTTCTTGTAATCTGTTTTAGTTCTTTGTAAATTCTGGATATCAGCCCTCTGTCAGATGGGTAAACTGCAAACATTTTTTCCCATTCTGTTGGTTGCCGATTCACTCTAATGACTGTTTCTTTTGCTGTGCAGAAGCTGTGGAGTTTGATTAGGTCCCATTTGTCTATTTTGGCTTTTGTTGCCAATGCTTTTGGTGTTTTGGTCATGAAGTCCTTGTCTACGCCTATGTCCTGAATAGTTTTGCCTAGATTTTCTTCTAGGGTTTTTATGGTGTTAGGTCTTATGAATCCATCTGTATTTAATTTTAGTGTAAGGTGTCAGGAAGGGGTCCAGTTTCTGCCTTCTGCACATGGCTAGCCAGTTTTCCCAACACCATTTATTAAACAGGGAATCCTTTCCCCATTGCTTGTTTTTGTCAGATTTGTCAAAGATCAGATGGTTGTAGATATGTTGTGTTGCCTCCAAGGCCTTTGTTCTGTTCCATTGGTCTATATCTCTGTTTTGGTACCAGTACCATGCTATTTTGATTACTGTAGCCTTGTAGTATAGTTTGAAGTCCAGTAGTGTGATGCCTCCCGCTTTGTTCTTTTTGCTTAGAATTGACTTGGGTATGCGGGCTCTCTTTTGGTTCCATGTGAAGTTTAAGGTGTTTTTTTCCAGTTCTGTGAAGAAGGTCATTGGTAGCTTGATGGGGATAGCGTTGAATCTGTAAATTACTTTGGGCAGTATGGCCATTTTCACAATATTGATTCTTCCTAACCAGGAACATGGAATGTTTTTCCATCTGTTTGCGTCCTCTCTTATTTCGTTGAGCAGTGGCTTGTAGTTCTCCTTGAAGAGGTCCTTTACGTTCCTTGCTAGTTGTATTCCTAGGTATTTTATTCTCTTTGTGGCAATCGTGAATGGCAGTTCGTTCTTGATTTGGCTCTCTTTAAGTCTGTTATTGATGTATAGGAATGCTTGTGATTTTTGCACATTGATTTTGTATCCTGAGACTTTGCTGAAGTTGCTTATCAGTTTCAGGAGATTTTGAGCTGAGATGTTGGGGTCTTCTAGATATACAATCATGTCGTCTGCAAATAGAGACAATTTGACGTCCTCCTTTCCTATTTGAATACCCTTTATTTCCTTTTCTTGCCCGATTGCTCTGGCTAGAACTTCCAGTACTATATTGAATAGGAATGGTGAGAGAGGGCATCCTTGTCTAGTGCCAGATTTCAAAGGGAATGCTTCCAGTTTTTGCCCATTCAGTATGATATTGGCTGTTGGTTTGTCATAAATAGCTTTTATTATTTTGAGATACGTTCCATCAATACCTAGCTTATTGAGGGTTTTTAGCATAAAGTGCTGTTGAATTTTGTCAAAGGCCTTCTCTGCATCAATTGAGATAATCATGTGGTTTTTGTCTTCGGTTCTGTTTATGTGGTGAATTACGTTTATAGACTTGCGTATGTTGAACCAGCCTTGCATCCCCGGGATGAAGCCTACTTGATCATGGTGGATTAGCTTTTTGATGTGCTGTTGCAGTCGGCTTGCCAGTATTTTATTGAAGATTTTTGCATCTATGTTCATCATGAATATTGGCCTGAAGCCTGAAATTTTCTTTTCTTGTTGTGTCTCTGCCGGGTTTTGGTATCAGGATGATGTTGGTCTCATAAAATGATTTGGGAAGGATTCCCCCTTTTGGGATTGTTTGGAATCGTTTCAGAAGGAATGGTACCAGCACCTCTTTGTATGTCTGGTAGAATTCGGCTGTGAACCCGTCTGGACCTGGGCTTTTTTTGGGTGGTAGGCTCTTAATTGCTGCCTCAACTTCAGACCTTCTTATGGGTCTGTTCAGGGTTTCGGCATCTTCCTGGTTTAGGCTTGGGAGGAGGCAAGTGTACAGGAATTTATCCATTTCTTCCAGGTTTACTAGTTTATGTGCATAGAGTTGTTTGTAATAATCTCTGATGATGGTTTGAATTTCTGTGGAATCTGTGGTGATATCCCTTTATCATTTTTTATTGCATCAATTTGGTTATTCTCTCTTTTCTTTTTTATTAATCTGCCTAGTGGTCTGTCTATTTTGTCGATCTTTTCAAAAAACCAGCTCCTGGATTTATTGATTTTTTGAAGGGTTTTTTGCATCTCTATCTCCTTCAGTTCTGCTCTGATCTTAGCTATTTCTTGTCTTCTGCTAGGTTTTGAGTTTCTTTGATCTTGCTCCTCTAGCTCTTTCAATTTTGACTATAGGGTGTCAATTTTTGATCTCTCCTTGCTTCTCATGTGGGTGCTTATTGCTATATATTTTCCTCTAGAGACTGCTTTAAATGTGTCCCAGAGATTCTGGTACGTTGTGTCTTCATTCTCGTTGGTTTCAAAGAACATCTTTATTTCTGTCTTCATTTCGTTGTTTTTCCAGTCAACATTCAAGAGCAAGTTGTTCAGTTTCCATGAAGCTGTGCGGTTTTGAGTTAGTTTTTGAATTCTGAGTTCTAACTTGATTGCACTGTGGTCTGAGAGACCACAGTGTTTGTTTTGATTTCCATTCTTTTGCATTTGCTGAGGAGTGATTTACTCCTGATTATGTGGTCAATTTTGGAGTCGGTGTGATGTGGTGCTGAGAAGAATGTATATTCTGTGGATTTGGGGTGGAGAGTTCTATAAATGTCTATTAGGTTTGCTTGGTCCAGGTCTGAGTTCAAGTCCTGGATATCCTTGTTGATTTTCTGTCTGGTTGATCTGTCTAATATTGACAATGGGGTGTTAGGAGAAAATGAGGTTTTGAAACAAGGTTCTGATAAACTCTATCTGTGGCCCTTAGGTCACGTGATCATTGTGTACTGACCCTGAAAGCGATGTTTTTCAGGGTTGAGAAGAATTGCCCTCCTGATTTTGAGAGCTGGAGAAGACCGTTAAGATGCTCTAGTCCAGCGTGGGGCCTGGGCTTCATCCAGCAGGTACTTCCCAGAGCCTGGGGAAGACCGTTCGGAGCCATGTGAACAGAACAGCTCTCAGTGGGTTTAGCAGGCCAGAGCCCTTCAGCTGTTCATGGGGTCTATCTGAAGTGGGCCGAGCAGTGAGCGTGCGTGGGAGCATCCTTCTCAGATCGGCTCCAGGGCACTCATTTCAGAGGAGATACTGAAAACAGTTCAGACCATTTGCAAGTTAACAGATGGGACCTGAGGACTTGTGCTTTCTCCACCCTTTTTAAGGACATTTTATATAACATCATCTGAATGGCAGTGAGTGGCGGTGATCATGACACTGAAATACGAGTTATGAGGCCCGTGGTGCACCAGGCGCTGCTCCAGGTCATGACACCCATCACCCCTCCAGCGTTCACTGTGCGCTTTTATAGGAGGAAACTGAGCCCCGGAAAAGTCTGAGGGTCCCGTGACCAGTGTATGGCAGAGCAGGGATTTGAACCCAGGCACACCCGGGGACTGCTTGAAACCCAGTATTATCCATAAATAAATTTGCACAGACCTGGGAGCACCAAGATGGTGCTCTTTTATTGGGGTCTGGAAGTTCAGGGCTGTAATAAAGTGTATCCCAGTGGAATGACTTAAGTATGTTTTATCCTGTGATGTCTGAATTGTGTGACTGATCAGGACTGCTGTAAAAGTGGGTGTCTTGCTCGTGGGGTACCCACAGGAGGAGCATAGGATCTTCTGTTCCTGCCAGCAGCACTCCTGCCTCCTGTTCACAGCCGGACCGCTCTGGCTTTAGTTTCATTTTCTTTCCTCCTATACTGTCAGTGGATGTTACCTTGCTATGTTTATGCGTCCTTTAAATGCATTAAGAATAAGGTACAGAATTAAAAGAAATGTTTTGTATTATATTGTTTGCATGCCTGGGGGAGTGATGTGTCCTTGCTTCTGTTTAGTCAACATAACATGAATGATCTTTTTTTTCTTTAGATTGGAGATGGATACCTGACAATCCCAGGGATCACTTCACGGACATCATTTTCTTGGACAAGATTGTGTAGGGCCCAGGCTGTGTTGGCCCCAGGACTCCTTCAGAATACAGCTGAGGACGATGAATCCTGCGAGCAACGGGGGTACATCAGAGAGCATTTTTGACTTGGACTATGCCTCCTGGGGGATCCGCTCCACGCTGGTGGTCGCTGGTTTTGTCTTCTACCTGGGCGTCTTTGTGGTCTGCCACCAGCTGTCGTCCTCCCTAAATGCCACGTACCGTTCTCTGGTGGCCAGAGAGAAGGTCTTCTGGGACCTGGCGGCCACGCGTGCAGTCTTTGGTGTTCAGAGCACGGCTGCAGGCCTGTGGGCCCTGCTGGGGGACCCTGTGCTTCATGCCGACAAGGCACGTGGCCAGCAGAACTGGTGCTGGTTTCACATCACAACGGCAACGGGCTTCTTTTTCTTTGAAAATGTCGCAGTCCACCTGTCCAGCTTGGCCTTCCGAACATTTGACCTGTTTCTGGTTGTCCACCATCTCTTTGCCTTTCTCGGGTTTCTCGGCTGCTCAGTCAATCTCCAAGCTGGCCACTATCTGGCTATGACCACGTTGCTCCTGGAGATGAGCACTCCCTTTACCTGCATTTCCTGGATGCTCTTAAAGGTAAGCGTTTCATGTGCTGCTTTTGCATACATCAGCAGCAGATGACATGTACCTCACACATTTAATTACTGGTTAGAATGTCGTGGACAGTGCCATAAACTCATCAGCAGATTGGATTGCAGCATACACATTCAGTTATAAACTCATTTTAGTTGAATGCAATTTTCTTAATTTTAAATCATGTAGGCTTTCTGCTTCTTAAGGAAAGAAAGCTCCATTGATCTTATGACTCAGTAGATAGTGTCTGCAAGCACTTACTTTTTTTCTTTCTTTTAATACTTTTTTTTTCACATTTTTTTTTATTTATTTATTTTTAAGACAGAGTCTCACTCTGTCATCCAGGCTGGAGTGCAATGGCGTGGTCTCGGCTCACTGCAACCTCCGCCTCCAGGGTTCAAGTTCTCCTGCCTCAGCCTCCCGAGTGGGTAGGACTACAGGCGAGCACCGCCACCCCTGGCTAATTTTTTTGTATTTTTAGTAGTGACAGGGTTTGACTATGTTGGCTAGGCTGGTCTCGAACTCCCAACCTTGTGATCTGCCCTCCTCAGCCTCCCAAAGTGCTGAGATTACAATTGTGAGCCACCGCGCCCAGCCTCTTTTAATACTTTAAAAAAACTGAAGTAATATGTGCTCACACAGCCCATATCTTGCTTGCTTTTTGTTTTGAATTAGGTTGTTTTACTAGTGATCAGAAGTACTGGGACCTAGCATAGTTATTTGCCTAACACTTTCTTTCTGTTTTTGAAGAACATGTTTTAAATATGTTTTTCACTTGATTGTCATTTTGATGTCAAAATGTTCTTTATGTTAAACTCTTTTTTTAAATTGTTTTTACGTAGATTCCTGCTATGTTTTATGACTCATCACGTTGTTTATGGGATACTTTATATGAAATTTCAAATGTTCAACCATTCACACGAATGGGTCACGTTACTGCACAATTCTTGTGTACAGGACACTGGTAGCCTTGAGAGGAAAAATAAGCATAACAAATCACTCCTGCCTTTGGGTCTAGGTGGGTAGATGGTATCAGACCGTCAAAAGAACACTATGGTGTAAACAGTACAGACTTTTGGTGTGTAACCACCACAGACACCAGCCTGGTGGTGGATAGTGTGAACACCATGGACCCCAGCTGGGTGTCAGATACTGTGCTGGCACCTGAACACTCAAGGAGGAACTCATGTTCCTGCTGTCCCCTGAGGTTGGCCCCATCTGGCGCCACATGGGCTGTGTGAGCACGGTGACAGGAAATCCCCAGATGGGGACCCCGCGCAGGAGGAGCAGGTGGGCACATCCGTGTTGGGTCAAGTAAATGAGGACGGGTGAGGCACGGTCATCTGCAGCGCAGAGCCTCACAGGGTGGCCATGGAAGTAGATGGAGCCGCAGGGGGCGATACTGGAGGCCTCCTTGGGAGTGTGTGCTTTGGGTGGTGGCCGGAGGAGTTTGGGGGCAGGTGTCATTTGGGTAGACCTTACCAGGGAAGAAGGTTGGAACCATGAATGGTTTGAAAGAGCCCCTCCAGTGGCCTAGCTACTGAGCTCCCTTGCTGAGCAAATGACTGAATGTGAAGCTGCTGGTCCAAGTGTGGGGTCATTTTAGGACAGATGCTGTGACCTGAGACCCCGTCAGCATCTTTGTGGATGTTATTTCCATAAGAGTTTAGGCTTCTGGGGATGCAGCGCAGGGCTGTGATCCCCAGGTTTCTCTGGCGTGCGATCAGTGTGGAGTGGAGAGGTGTGTGCTGGTGGAAGAGGCTGTGGCCTGCGCTTTGCATTGCCTGCTCCTCCCACCTGGAAACACCGGGCTTCAGGACTCACTCAGCTGTGGCAGAAATGATAGCTCTTGAAAGGAAAGCACAAGTGCTCACTCATATCGATGCCCTAAAAAAGGTGGTAAATAGTGACTAAATAAACTATTAATACGTCCTATCATGTTGTGTGCTTGGGATCATTAGTGTGTTTTGAGAAACAGGTTAACAGTTACCTTGTATTTTTATTTTTTTATTACAAGTTCTTTAAAAAAAGTAAAAGGAAAGGAAAGAAATGAGTCCTTCTGTCTCTCCAGTCCTCAGGGGAAAGCAGTGTTGGATTTCTCAAGGGTTTTATCTGAGCCTCTCCTGGAGCCAGGCGTGGGGACAGCACCTCCTGCAGGATTTGCCGACACAGGTGCCTCCAGCAGTTCTTCCTCCCCCGGTGTGGTGGAGCCTGGCCTCCAGGAGGATAGACTCAGAGAGCAAAGCTTGATTTTGGAATTTGCACATTCTCTAAAGGTTTTAGGTTGCTGTTTGCGTAGAAGGAATAAAGGGTTATTTAAGTATTTACTCCTAACCCTGCTCATGTCAACTGCATAAAGCCAACAGACCCCAATAACAGAAAATTATAACCTAAATTAATATAGCTCAGGGCCAGTATGTCTAGATAGTTCTGTTTTGTACTGGTTGAAATACTGCTAAATGCTGGAAGAAAACCCTGTGTCTAAAACATTGAAATTCTTATAAAGCTGATAGATTCTTGTTTGGTAGGGCATGAGGATTCAGCATTTCTCTCCCATCAAGGTCTAATTTGATCAGAACTAAAGGACATAAAGACAATATATCACCATCAATTTAGGCTGGGTGTCTCAGTCAAGCACAGTGACTTGTTCTTCGTATTTCCATCTTGGATTTGATTCTGAAATGTTTAGAATTAATAAATGAATGACATAGGACTCAAACATCTAAATATAATTTATCCACAGACTCACTATTCCATAATATAAATGAGGTGATACAAAAACACTGTCAGGCCAGGTGTGGTGGCTCACACCTGTAATCCCAGCACTTTGGGAGGCCAAGGCTGGCAGATCACCTGAGCCCAGGAGCTCAAGACCAGCAACATGGCAAAACTTCATCTCTACAAAAAATACGAAAATTAACTAGGCATAGTGGCACACATCTGTAGTACCAGCCACTTGGGAGCCTGAGGTGGGAGGATTGCCTGAGCCTGGGAGTTCAGGGTTATAGTGAGCTTTGATTACACCACTGCACTCTGGCCTGGGCAAGAGTGAGACGCTGTCTCAAAAAAACACACAAAAAAGACACACACAAAAACAAACAAGCAAAAACCACTGTCAGTTTTTATATATTTTATATATACACGTGTGTGTTTATATATATACATATGTATACAGTCGACCTTCTGTATCCATGAGTTCTGTGTCCATGGATTCAACCAACTGTGGATCAGAAATATTTGAGAGAAATCTAAAATAACAATACAATAAAAAATATCACAAATCTATACCAGTACAGTGTAACAACTTTATATGGCATTTACATTATATTAGGTATTATAAGTAATCTACAGATGATTTAAAGTGTAAAGGAGAGTGTGCTTAGGTTATATGCACATACAAAGCCATTTTATATAAAGGACTTGAACATCTGTGGATTTGGATATCTGCAGGAAGCCCAGGAACCAGTCCCCCTAAGGATACTGAGGGCAACTATATATTTATTGAAATTCTTTTAAAGCTGCTAGATTTAAATTCTTTTAAAGCTGATAGATTCTGCTAGGCTCCAGAGCTTTGCATGTGTTATGTCACGGATTTTGTTGCTATAGATTTTGCTACTTTTCTCAAAGCCTTTGGTGACTGACCACCAAAATTTTAGTGCCTTAGTAAACCCAAAGAATTCTCAGTTCTCAAGTTTTGAGTTTTCTAAACTTAAGGTATTGATAGTATTCTGATGTGACTATTGAGAATTTAAGATAACTGACTGGGCGCGGAGGTTCACGCCTATAATCCCAGCGCTTTTGGAGGCTGAGGCGGCAGATCATTTGAGGTCAGGAGTTTGAGACCAGCCTGACCAACATAGTGAAACCCCATCTCTACTAAAAACACAAAAAAATTAGCCAGGGTTGGTGGTACATGCCTGTAGTCCCAGCTACCCCCAACCTGGGAGGTGAAGGTTGCAATGAGCTAAGATCACACCACTGCACTCCAGGCTGGGCAACTGAGCGCAGAACGGTTGTCTCAAAAAACAAACAAAAACAAGATGACTAGTTTCAGTAAGTGAGGAAAGTGGTGGAGGAGAGCTTTTTGTGAATTGTGAGGGAATGGCCTAGTGAATGAAGACTGAGCTCGCGAGAGCCCAGGGCTGAGCGCATGGTATACTCTACGGTTTATCACTGTGTGGGGCCCTCTAGCTAGCGCAGAGGATTCTGACGTTCAGAACATCGACTCTTCAGTGTTTTGTCTTCAGACACACAGTCTTTTCACTCCTGTTGATACTGTACGCTCTACCAGGCCCTGTGCCAGGCACCGGGTCACAACTAAGATGATTCACAGTTTTCTGTAAGCGAGAATCTGTGGGAGGCACATGTGCACGTGGTAGTGCTCCAGCACACACATGACAGAATATTCTGGAACCTGGAATCTATGGGGGGGGCACACATGTAGCTGGTGGTGTTCCAGCAAACGATAGAAGATTGAAGCTGGAATCTGTGAGGGGCACACCTGTGTAGTGGTGCTCCAGCACACACATGATGACAAAAGATTTTGGAAGCTGGAATATGTGAGGGGCATATTTGTGTGTGGCTCCTTCTGTACACACAGAAGATTCTGGAAGCTGGAATCTGTGAGGGGCAGCTATATGTGTGGTCATGCTCCAGTATACCTGTGATGACAGAGGTTCTGGAAGGTAAAAATTTGTGAGGATTGGATACCCACGTGGCCTCGCGCCAGTACACATACATAATGACAGAAGGTTCTAGAAGGTGAACTCTGTGAGAGGCTGTTGTGGACGTGACCCTGCTCCAGTAAACACATGTGATGACAGAAGATTCTAGAAGGTGAAATCTGTGAGGGTTGGATATGCATGTGTCCCTGCTCCATTATACATACATGTGATGACAGAAGGTTCGGGAAAGTGAAATCTATGAGGGGCAGATGTGTGTTTGTGGCCCTGCCCCAGTACACACACACGTGATAACAGAAAGTTCTGGAAGGTGAACTCTGAGGGGCTGATGTGCATGTAGCGCTGCTCCAGTATAGATACATGTGATGACAGAAGGTTCTGGAAGGTGAAATCTGTGAGGGGCAGATTTATGTGTGGCCCTGCTCTAGTACACATATATGTGATGACAGAAGGTTCTAGAATATGGACTCTGTGAGGGGCACACACTTGTGTAGCCATGCTGCAGTTCCACTATGTGGCAGACGGAGCATTGTCTTTCCTTTGGTTTTTCTCAGCCATTTGTTTACTTGGTAAATGCTTGAGTGCCTTCAGTTTGATAACAGTATGCGAGACTTCCGGTGTCCATGCAGCCCCATGCATAGGTCTGTGCCCCAGTACTCAAACAGGTACTGGGATTGTCTTAGCCACACTGTTCATTTGGCCTCATACTGAATCCTACTGAAGTCCCATCATCAGTGGAAAGGGCTCGTGAGCTGGGTGTGTCCACACAGCAGAGGGGTGGGGATCAATCTGGATGGTTTACACGGCCATAGTGAGAGACATTAGCCAGACCCAAAAGAGGACACGGCATGTGATTCTGTTCTGTGTACAGTCCTTAACAACGGGGCATGTTCTGAGAAAAGTGTCCTTCGGCTATTTCGTCATGGAGCAACCACCCTAGAGTGCCATTCCGCATGCCGAGGCTACTCTGTGCCTTGGCCCTATGCGCCAGAGCCCATTGCTCCCAGGCTGCACGCCTGTGCAGCACATGGCCCTACTGAATACTGGAGGCAAGTGTAACACAGTTGTAAATATTTGTTCATCTAAACATCTAAACATAGGAAGGTGTAGTAAAAATGCCGTGTTAAAGGTGAAAAATGGTGCACCTGTGCAGGCCATTAACTAGGAACAGAGTTTGCAGGACTGGAAGCAGCTCTGGGCCAGTCAGAATGAGTGGCGAGTGTGAGGGCCTAGAACATCACTGTACACTCCTGTGTCCTTTATGAACACTGTGTACTTAAGCTGTGCTGAATTTATTTATTTATTTATTTATTTATTTATTTATTTATTTTGAGACAGAGTCTTGCTCTGTCGCCAGGCTGGAGTGCAGTGGCACAATCTCGGCTGACTGCAACCTCCACCTCCTGGGTTCAAGCGATTCTTCTGCCTTAGCCTCCTGAGTAGCTGGCACCACAGGCTCGTGCCACCACGCCGGGCTAATTTTTGTATTTTTAGTAAAGGCGGGGTTTCACTGTGTTGGCCAGGATGGTCTCGATCTCTTGACTTCATGATCCGCCCACCTCGGCCTCCCAAAGTGCTGGGATTACAGGTGAATTTATTTTAAACATTTCTTTCTTTAATCATAAATTAACCTTAACTTACTGTAACTTATTTTATAAATTTTAGTTTTTTTAAACTTTTCCACTCTTATAATAACACTTAGCTTAAAACACAAATACATCGTATGTATATTTTCTTTATACCTTTATTCCATAAGCTGTTCTTAATTTTTAAAACTTTTTTTTAATTGTTGAACTCTAAGACACAAATATACGTTCACCTAGCCCACCTGGTGCTGCCACTGTGGGTCTGCAGGAGCTGTGAGATTGAAAACTTGCTTGCGCCAAAGTCGAACATTGTCCTTCACCGCCTTTGGAACTGGTGGTTGTGGCCAGTTATCAGAGTGACTACACTGTTTACCACCCAGACAAGGATGTCAGGGACTGCCCCAGGCCAACCAGGATCTGCAGTCACCCCAGGAGCTGGGAACCAGTTACATTTGTGACTTTTGCTTTAGACATATCAAGAACTTCGAGAACTTGTAGCCTAACTCTATAATTTCACAAGTAAGAAATAATAGTATTAACTCTTCACATTTTGTTTCAATCCATGTCGCTTAACCATCCAGAACTGACAACCATGGGTTCTTCTGGTCTGCGTGAGTTTCTCCCCTGTCCCCTTCAGTTTGTAGGCTCCAGGCTTGTTTGGGATTGGTGCTTCCTCTGTTCTTCTTTCTGAGTGGTCATTGTGCCTCAGCAATGCTGAGCGTGAGGGAAGTGTGTGGTCCCGACCCACCTTGAGGTGGCCCCAATCACAGGTGGGAGTGTTTCGTTTGCATCTGGAGTTGGGGTGAACTAAGCGCTTGGCACGTCATGTTTGTGGAAAGCCGCGCCGGCGGTCTCTGAATTGGTGTGTGTGCATGAGGGTGCTGTGACGCGCACGTGGGAGCCCTGAGGTCCCCTCTGAGACCTGGGAAAGACTCCCGTGACAGTTACAGAAGCCACGCGGCACGACTCTTCCACTGGCCTTTCTCGTCTAATTTTCCTCACACTGATTTTTTCTGTCCAGATGTCGACGCTCCTTGACTCAGGACGGGGCTACAGCCCAATAAGCCCATCATAAGTTAAAAATATCCTGACAGAAATGTGTTTAATACAAGCAGCCTCCTGAACACCATGGTGAAGCCTGGCCTGCCTTAAACATGCCCAGAAGACTTGCATCAGCCTAAGGTTGGGCAAAATCATACAGCACAAGCCTATTTTACGACCAAATGTGGAACATCTCATGTAATTCTGTGAATGCCATACTGAAAGTTGAAATGATGGTTACGTAGGTACTGGAAGTATGGTTTCTACTGAATGCGTACCACGTTTGCACCATCCTAAAGTCAAACACTTGTAAGTCAAACCATTGTGAGTAGCGGACTGTCTAGAAGAGCCAATATACCCGAGCTTTAAATATTTAAAATACCAGAAAAACACGTTAGAGTTTTTTTTTTTTTTGAGCCAGAGTCTCACTCTTTCTCCAGCCTAGAGTGCAGTGGTGCGATCTCAGCTCACTGCAACCTCTGCCTCCTGCGATCAAGTGATTCTCATTACTCAGCCTCCCAGATAGCTGGGATTACATGGTTGCCACCATGCCTGGCTGATTATTTTTGTATTTTTATTAGAAATGGGGTTTTGCTGTGTTGGCCAGGCTGGTCTCAAACTTCTGACCTCAAGTGAATTACCCGCTTCGGCCTGCCAAACTGCTGGGATTATAGGCGTAAACCACTGTACCTGGCCCAAGTTAGAATATTTTGCTGGGGAGGAGCTGTACTGTCCTAGCTCAGGCTGCCACAGCAAACTGCCATAGCCCAGGCAGCCTGAACAGCAGGAATTCCTTTCTCACAGTTCTGGAGACTGCAAGTCCTCACACGGAGGAGGGGAAGGAAGGCTCTGATCTCTTCCTCTTCTTATGACACTGATCCCATCCTGGGGCCCTACCCTCATGACCTCATCCCACCCTCATCACTTCCCAAAGGCGCCACCTCTGGGTACAATCACATTGGGAGTTAGGGTTTCATCATATGAATTTCGAGACACACATCCAGTGAGTAACAAGTATTACACTGCTGGTAAAAGAAAAGGATATGGGTATGTCTGATCTAACAGTGGGAGACAATTCAAATTTTTTTATGAAGTTGTTTTCAGACAAATTCAGTATTTCAAACAACAAAGTCCTTGTTTTTCTTTCCGATACATTTGTAAGGCAACCTCTTAAGTCATTGATTCTACTGTGTGTGTGTGTGTGTGTGTGTGTGTGTGTGTGTGAACTGTGTGAACATGCTTTTGTAACTTAAAAGTGGACTTCCTTTTGATTTAGTGACCCTTAGAAGTTGGTAATGCCAGGTCCTCTTCAAAGTGTCACAGATGTAGATCTAGTAAAGTCAGCCCCTTTCCTGAGAACACCATGTGGTCTCTGCCTGGATATGGCAGCCCACCTCTTTGCTGGTCTGATCTCAGAGTGGTCCCTGCATTCCAGTGCCCCTCGTCCCTAACAACTGTCTTCTGGGCATGAGTTTCTTCCTGGGCATGTTCTGGACTGTCCTGGTGCCGACGAGGCCTGCCTACCTGGTCCCTGCTACGTATCCATGGTCTGATGCTTATCATCCTCAAGTTAGTTCCCTTCTTTGTTTTAGCCAGGACTGCTGGAAACTAGTTTTACTGCAAATTTAGCATATTTTAAGGCAAGCCCATTTTGGCCTTTGTTAAAGGACTAAACAAACCAGGAAACATTCTTTATCCTAAACTCACCTCTTCTAAGAGATTTTTCTCCCAGGGTCTAGGTACAGGAGCTTGATGTACCTATGTCTGGTTTTGCTAAATAAGTACTGCTTATTAATATATGCAAATTCAAGATAAAACAGACTGAAGAGAGACCAAAAGAAAGGTTGAATTTATCATAGCTTTAGGGAGCAGAAGTCAAAGAGCGAGAGGTATAGAACAGCACAAGCAAGCAAGGGTCAGCCCTGCTGGCCTGTGTGCGCATGGAGCCGGTGGTCTTCTTCCGGGATGAAGCCCCAGTGAGAGCAGAGCTCTGGTGAGGAAATTCTGTTGCTTTGAAATGAATTTGTTTTGATGGTAAGTACGGTAGCAAATACCTTTTTGTGATGTGAAGAATGAACTCTGGCAGTTTTGTATTGATCTGTGCATTTGTTTTGTCTCTGTGCAGGCGGGCTGGTCTGATTCTCTGTTCTGGAAGCTCAACCAGTGGCTGATGATTCACATGTTTCACTGCCGCATGGTCCTGACCTACCACATGTGGTGGGTGTGCTTCTGGCATTGGGATGGCCTGGTCAGCAGCCTGTATCTGCCTCATTTGGCACTCTACCTTGTTGGACTGGCTCTGCTTACACTAATCATTAATCCATACTGGACCCATAAGAAGACTCAGCAGCTTCTCAATCCGGTGGACTGGAACTTTGCACAGCCAGAAGCCAAGAGCAGGCCGGAAGGCAACGGGCAGCTGCTGCGGAAGAAGAGGCCGTAGCTGCTCCAGCCGGGGCTCCCGGGGCTCCTGGGGCTCCCAGGCCCCAGCCGGTTGGCACACGGATTCTGGGAAGTTTGGTGAATAGTGGCTTTTGAATTAATGAGGCAGTGAATGTTTTGTTTTTAATTCTAAGGGAAATACTAACTTTATTTCTCATTAGCATTAATTTTGAAGTAGCTACAAAGTCTTTTTAAGAAATTATAATTTTGCGACTGTCCTGACTGGTGCTGTAAGTTGAGCCTCTGGACCATGTCAGGCATTTAGGAGAGGAGTCCGTGGCATCCAGGCACCTGCTGAGGAGGGGGTGGCCTTGTCCGAATGCTGGAAATGGCTTCATAGTGAAGTGCCTCCCGCTGGGGGGGTGGGTCAGCGTTGATTTTCCAGCCACACACTCACATGCTGTGTGTCTTATCAGAAGTCACATTCTTTTCAGCTGGAGAGAATTGGGCTAAAATAGAAAATAATATGACTTGTTGCTTGTTAAAATTTCCCATGGTATGAAATTCTAGGCTGGGCACAGTGGCTCACACCCAAAGTAATCTCAGCACTTATGGAGGCTGAGGCAGGTGGGTCACTTGAGGCCAGCCTGACCAACATGATTAAACCCTGCCTCTACTAAAAATACAAAAGTTAGCTGGGTGTGGTGGTGCGTGCCTACAATCCCAGCCACTCAGGAGGCTGAGGCAAGAGAATCGCTTGAACCCAGGAGGCAGAGATTGCAGTGAGCTGAGATCAAGCCATTGCACTTTAGCCTGGGAACAGGGCAAGACTCTCTCATAAAAAAAAAAAAAAAAAAAAAAAAAATTCTAAACCTAGGTGTCTGGCAGTGCCATCTGGTGGCAAATGGTACAAAGACATCTCTGAGGGGTAGTGACTCCTGTAGCAGCAGAGACGCCTTGGAGTTTACTTGCCACCAACCAGCGTGTGGGGTGGTTAAGATGAAATCTTGCAAGTTTGTTTTTTTTTTTAATCATGGAACCTGTTTTAAAATGAGAATTTACTATTCATACTATATTGCTCATTTGACAAAATGAGGTAGATATTTAGTAATCAGGTTGTCTGGGTTTTAGAGTTGTTTTTCATTGATGGAGTTACCTACAGGCACCCAATCCACACCCTAATTTTGTGGTTGGTGTTTCTCGCTAGCTTTGAAGGAAAGTAGTGATGTCATTTTCCCCCTGAGCTGCAAGGGTGGACCTGGACCCCTCAGATGCTCAGCTGCAGGGCCCTGGGGTCCCTCGAATGGTCCTGCTGCAGCCCCTGGCGATGAGCGCCTGATGACAAGTCCCAAGGTACGTTACTGTTTTATGCCCAGATAGAATTTATACACCAACTGAGCAATTTTGTTGACAGACATACAGAATTGTGTGGGTTTGTTTTTGTTTTTGTTTTAAATGTGCAATTAAAATTCAAAGTTTATTCTTTATCAAAAGCACCTTTGAAATGTGTATAGAAAAACATCGGCTGCTCGTGAGAATTGTGTGACTTACGCTCCTCATGTATCGTGGAACTCTCGGAGCTGTGGTTGGTTTGTTTTGAGACGGAGTCTCGCTCTGGCTCCCAGGCTGGCATGCAGTGGTGCCATCTCAGCTCACTGCAACCTCCACCTCCTGATTTCCAGTGATTCTGCCACCTCAGCCTCCCAAGTAGCTGGGATTATAGGTACGTGGTACCACGCCCGGCTAATTTTTTGTATTTTTAGTAGAGATGGGGTTTCACCATGTTGGCCAGGCTGGTCTCCAACTCCTGACCTCAAGTGATCTGCCCACCTTGGCCTCCCAAAGTGTTGGGGTTACAGGCGTGAGCCACCTCGCCTGGCCTGGAGCAGTGTCTTTTGATTGCTGATGCTTTAACTTTATTGATCCAAGTGTATGGTAACCTATTTATCACGTTTTATGAAAAGATTTTAATCTTAAACTCATCCAGCAAATGGTGTCCCTGCTGAGACTTTTAACTGGAATCCCGGCACTTTGGCAGGCAGTGCTGTCTGCATCCGTGCCCTTGTGGAGTCAGCAGGAGCTGGTGTTTTTCAGCCAGGCAGAGGCATAATAAAGTCACTGATGTTTACAGAACCCAAATGATGTCAAAATAACCTATTCATATTGCTGCGAATGTTTTATCTTGGAGATATAAAATATAACGATCAACCTTCATGTGTTCAGATTTCAGTTTGGAGTTTGAAGTGTGTAGCCTCATTTGTATCTCACCCTCACTAGGACTTTGACCTTGCAGAGGTCCACGCGTTACCTCCTGTATCGTTATACACCCGTCGTTCGGATGCATAGAGGTGGAGGCGCCTTAGAGAAGCACAGGCTCGCCCACTCTGTCCAATGTCACACACACATTGTGCCAGGGATCCCTCAGTGCAGAGCCTGGAGTTGGGGGCTTTGGGGTGGCAAAGGCTTCGTGGACTGTTACCATCTGGTCCCCTTCCAGATTGCACAGCACTTTCCCATGGCCTTCGCTGGCCTCAGTCTCCCCGACCGGCAGTGGGAGTGGAGGTATCCTTAGTGTAGTGTGGTGCAAGTGACATTCATGAGCTCTGGCTTCTTGGTGCCAGGCTGGCGTGAGCCTGGGCCAGGCCCACTTAGTGGCCAATACTGGCCAGCATCCATCTGCATGTGTGTGCTGTGTGCCTCTCAATAGTTACAGCAAGTGTTAAACAGGGCGAGTTCACATAACAGTCAGGAATTCTAGAATTGCTTGAAAACTAGGAAGACTGGGTAACATCAGCCTTACCTCTACCTGATGGCAGGTGACCCAGATGGAAATGGCCTTGCCTTTAGCCGGGATGTGGCTCTCCAGCGTGGCTTTGCTGTCATCACTCATCCTGCACTTTTTCTTTCGGTGGTGAAATACTTCTGCATACCTATGTTTTGTTTGTTTCTTAATGGGTGACTGAAGAGCCAAGGGCTGGTGCAGCCTCCTTGCCATGATGCAGGTGCCGGGCCACACAGGCTGCGGCTTGTCTCGGTGTCCAGGCTCCTTGGGTGATGCTGGAGTTGTCATGGCGGCTGTTCGGTGTGAGTGTTTTTGCCAGGTATTGTGCTTAAGGGACATATTTCCCATTTTCTTCGCACTGACAACTTGAAATAGGCACTTGTGAATCCACTTCACAGCAGAGGAGCCTCAGGGCTCAGAGAGGTGGTGATGTGCCCAAGGAGATGCAGCTGGTGAGTGGCCGTGCCTGCCTCCGGGCACAGCCTCCAGCGCCAGAGCTGGGCTCTTCAGCACAGCTTTCAGCACAGAAACTGGTGTTTCAGGCAGTGGGGCCGCTCTAACAAAACACCTGAGACTGGATAATTTATAAAGAACAGACATTCAGGGCAGACATGGTGGCTCACTCCTGTAATCCCAGCACTTTGGGAGGCCGAGGCGGGGGGATCATTTGAGGTCAGGAGTTTGGGACCAGCCTGGCCAACATGGTGAAACCCCCGTCTCTACTAAAAAAAAAAAAAAAAAAAATTAGCCAGGAGTGGTGGCGCATGCCTGTAGTCCCAGCTACTTGGGAGGCTAAGGCAGGAGAATTGCTTGAACCTGGGAGGTGGAGGTGTGGGCAGATTAGTACCTGCTGGGAACCCTGCATCCTCACGCGGTAGAGGGAATTGAAGGTCAAGAGGCCTCAGCTAGTTCCCTGCTGCCTTTTTATGAGGCAGGGAGCCATTTGTAAGAGTAGGGGCCCTGCCTCTTAATACCTCCACAATAACAATGACAACGTCATGTGAATTCTGGAGGGGACACAGTCACACCACAGCACCCGGTGAATGTGATTCTCTCCTGTCAGAATTCTGTGAGCTTAATGAGGCCAGAGTTCCGTCTGTTTTATTTTCTGATTTATTCCAAGCCATGTGTGCCTGGCACAGGATGGTGGCAGGGCAGTGGGGAGTGGCAGGGCCCCACAGGGGACAGACCCAAGGGCTGATGCAGGGACGTCTGTTGAAGGGCATAGTTACCATGATAAGGGCAGGGCTGAGGGGCTGGGCAGCCAGCTTCACCCTCGCACGGGGTGCCTGGCAAGACCAGCGGCCAGAGGTGACGTCCTCAGTAGAGAACTGTGGATACTGGAAACCGCATGGCCAGAAGGGGAAACAACGGGGCCTCCGGTGCAGACCAGCCTGGGTGGGGTCTGCCAGGGTCAGCTGCCTTTCCTTCATGCCGGGTCGAAGATGTTGTGTGTGTGTGTGTGTGTGACAAAACATTGGATAGCACACCAAAAGCTTCCTCCATTGAGTGCGTGTGAAGTGTTTTTCGGGTCAGAAGCCTTCTTGTTCTGAGCGCATGTGCTCACGCAGACAGAAGTGCGGGGGCCCCGTCGCTCTGCCCTGGCGCAGCTGAACTGCAAAGGCCTCCCGTGCGTCGGGCTGGCGTCAGGCGTGCGTCTGGGGCTCTGCTTCGTGCTCTATCCCACGGTGGCCCAGGCAGGTTGGGGTTAAACGGGTACTGGTCAGATGCACAGGTGCCCCACACCCCTGCTGTGGCTCCGGCAGTAAAGATAGGAGGCACCCATGTCACAAGAGGAACACAGGCAGGGGTGTTGGGGCAGCCCTCAGGGTCTCCGGACCCCCGTCCAACACCCACAGCAGCCCAGGAAGGAAGGGCAGAGTCCCAGGTGTCACCTGGCAGGGAGCTCCCAGGAGCTGCCCCTCTCTGAAGTCACGGGACAGGAATGACAGGTAGGGGGACTGCCGGAAGCTGCCACCTCTGTGATCAGAGCATGCCCAGGCTGCAGGGGCTCCATCACGGGGTCTGCGAGAGCCAGCCTGGCTGCCTTGTGCTCACACCTGGCTTTGCTTTCTGCAGAACCCAGCACACGTGATTTGTGTGACACGCTGACAGCCAGGCTGCCAAGACAGGAGGCCTGCCCTGGAGGAGTGGCTGCAGGAGAGGGCGGGGTGGGCACCCGGGAGCCCGTCCAGCCTGGTCCCAGAGGCATCCCCGGCCCTGCCATCCTGATTTCAGCTCACCGCAGAGTAAATTAGAATAAACTGCACTCAGACGTTCACGAACACACGTCAACGCTTGCAGTTCGCCTCTGTTTTTGCCAACTTCATCCTATTTTCTTCTAATGCGAGAGCTTATTAATTCAATATTTGTGTTTTTGAATAACTTTTCCCCTTTTTAGTAACTAAAATCATTATTAGTAAAATGCATTTACTATTTTAGTAACAGAAATATACTTACTAATCACATTTAAAATACAGTGATGTGAAAAATTCAGACGTTTCTGTTTTCTTCTGGTGACTCAACCCCAAATGTCTGGAATTGACTCTGAGGTATCCAGGATCCGGAGCCAGCCGTCCAAGAGGGAAAAGAAACCACACCCTTCCTCTGGGAACCCGGCCAGGAACCCCAGAGCGCAGGCGCCTGGCCTCCGTGACACCTCATTTCCACATCTGCAGGCCCATGGTGTGAACTCATTTCTTTTCTCACTGGAGGTATTTTCCCTTCAGCGTTGCGCCGCTTCACACTTGGCAGCCTCAGTTAGCACTCCACCTGCCTGAAGCCGTGTACATCCCGTGCCTGCAGAGTTCCACACCTGCAACCTCCAACCCATAGGAAGATTTCAAAAATTAAACCAAAGTTCAGACCCTCCATTATTACAGAAAGTTATTAAATGTCAAGTCTCAATCTGAAAAGTTTCTTTATGTAGAAAACATTTTTTAAAAAGTTCAAAACAGTAACTTGCTTGTTGGCCAGGTGTGGAGTACATTGGGGTGATCATGGCTCACCGTAACCTCAAACTCTTGGGCATAAATGATCCTCTTGCCTCAGCCTCCAAAGTAGCTGGGATCACAGGTGTGTGTCACCATGCCTAGCTAATTTTTAAATTTGTGTGTAGAGACGGGATCTTGCTGTCTTTCTCAGGCTGGTCTCAGTCTCCACTGGAGTCCTCCCACAACAGCCTCCCAAAGTGCTGGGATTACAGGCATGAGCCGCCGGGCCCAGCCTACATACGAAACGTCTATAGTCCTGGTAACTTTTGCAACGTTTTCTGTGTGGTTTTTCAAAAATAATATGTGAAATGCAAAGTCCCAATTGGAACACAGTGCATTTTAGCTGCAGTTTCATTTGTTACAAGGAATTTCCAAGCATATCTGGTCAACCCCAGAGATTTCGTTTCCACACAAAACAATCGCAGAGCCCAGAGTGTTCAAGCCAGAGAGTAGTTTTTTGCTGACAGCCAAAGCTTAGCAAGGTTGAGCCCGCCATGCGATATTCCCATTGTGCATTTTCTGTAATTTCAGATTATCTCAAATAGAAAGCATGCAGCCCTTAAAAAAAATAAAGCTCAGGGAAAATCTCATTTGCTAAACGTGGCTTTTAACATTGAATTTGGAGCTGGTTACAGGACTGGTGTGTTCTGCCAGCGTGGGTCCCTCGCCAACCCGACCTCTGCCAGCTGGTACCTGTCTTCTGGCCC